CAGGAAATGAATTAAAACCGGTAGGCTAAGGAGATACTTTCTGAGGGACAGGAGGTGACTTATCCATCTAACAAGGTAATACTTCTCTAAAATGTATGCATATTATTTCTTTTAAAATTCACAAACTAAACTTTCCAACGTAGTAAATGTTGGGTATTATACACCAGGATCACTATAATTACATATTCTACCTGGTTATGAAAAATGAAATTAAGCATAGTACTAAGAACATTATACAAAATTAACATAAACAACTTTATTATCACCCACACTCAGTAGGGAATAAATACACCAGCGGTTTGTGAAGGTACTAAATAATAAGCAAATATTACCACTAACTTCTATATATAGTCATGATATTATTTTTTTTAAATGAAGGGGATCGTTTTCCTAGTCTTTGGGTAAACTTTTTGTGGACCCATTAAAAAATAGTGCTACTGAATGAAAAGCCTGGAAAATAAGTAACTCTTGCAAAAGAACCAACACTTTCTTTTTCCTTACAATAAATTGATGAGTTTCTCTTTATATACATGGATTTCTAAACTCAGTGCTAAATGAGCAATTCACTGTTTGTTAATTAAGAGAAAATACCTTTGCTGCGTAACCAAGGGCAGCAGGCGTGGCAGATTCCGGGACAGTGCTAACTAAATCCGCATCCACAGGGGCTTCAATTGCCAGCTGCAGACCACAACGGTATCTTACTGTGTAAACCATTTGGTCTGGAATGTTTGGAAAAGGAAATAAATTTTTACTTAGTATAATATAGCACAACATATCACTATTCTAAGAAACTAGCTTGTTAGAACTCTACAGAATTGAGCATGCAACAACGAAGACTCAACACAGCCAAAAATGAATAAATAAATAATTAATTGAAAAAGAAAAGCAAGACAAAAAAACACTAAAGTGGAAACACATAAACTGGGGGAATTCACTCTTTAAAAAAAGAATTAACCTTAATACATATCTCAAAATCATAATCCTTACTCCTAAAAGGAAAACAAAATCCAAGAGTCAGATGAAAAGGAAAAACTGTGATCTTATGACTTGTAAGCTCAGTCCCAAAATTCACAACATATAACTATGTGCCTTCAAAGAGCCAGATAAGCCTTTGGGCCCAAGAATTGTCATGTTTCAATGAGGTAAATAATAGGTTTATATCAGTAGTTAGAGATACTTTACTTACCTTCAAATATACTATCTGGTCTTGCAAAATAAACATATTCAAAGATACAGAAAGCCATTGGGTTTCCTTGAGACCTTGGTATAATATCAAGAGTTTGGATATTATGTCTGGATATTTCCACAATTTCTCCAGGCAAGATTTCACGGTAATATCTTGGGAAACAATATTAAAGAAGACTATAAATAAACCAGTCAAATTAAGGTAAATTATCTATTATAAAGCACACAGAGTCCCTTCCCTTATAGAAGGAAAAATGGCTCAATTTAAAATAAAGTCTATTGGCTTAAAAAATTAAAAAGTAGTATTCCTGGGCTTCCCTGGTGGCGCTGTGGTTAAGAATCCGCCTGCCAATGCAGGGGACACGGGTTTGATCCCTGGCCCGGGAAGATCCCACATGCCATGGAGCAACTAAGCCCGTGCGCCACAACTACTGAGCCTGTGCTCTAGAGCCCGTGAGCCACAACTACTGAAGCCCGCACCTAGAGCCTGTGCTCCCCGACAAGACAAGCCATGACAATGAGAAGCCCGCACACTGCAATGAAGAGTAGCCCCTGCTCGCTGCAAGCAGAGAAAGCCCACACACAGCCAAAAATAAAAACAAATAAATAAATAAAGTTATTAAAAAAAAAGTAGTATTCCTCCAGCAGTAATTTCCATAAATCTGTTACCCCTAAATTCAAATTTAGAATTAAAAAAATTAAAAGTCCTATATTTTATTGATTTTTAAAAGCATGAAGGCTAAAGAGAACATTTTTATCCTGGCTTAAATTTTTTGCTCATAACTATTACTTGTTGAGGAGATTCTTCCTTTCTAAAATAAGTCTCATGGTATTTTGAAAACAGGATGCCAGTTCCAGGATTAGAAGGTATTACTGGGACATTAATGTCAGTGCAACTGCTGAGCACAACGCACAAAAGGAATTGCATTTATAAATATGTATTCTTGCAGACATCAGAACAAAAAAATTTTTTTTTATCGAAGTGGAAAAAGTTGATATGCTGAGTGAGATAAAACTTACCTTGCACCAATAGATAAAAAGCTACAAGATTCTGAAGACACCACCCATCCTTCTGTTTCTGAAGATTTTTTTTCTGTAAATCACAAGACAATCGATTCAGTTACTGAATTCAAGCAATTTTAAAAGAGCCTACATATTTCAAGAGAACAGCTAAAAACCAAATAGATAAGCAAAAGAGCTCACAGAATATCCATTACTATGACTTTAAGAGCATATGGTTCCTCATTTGACTAGAACCAAAGATAAAATTAATAATCCCAAGATTCCTTCAAACAATATGGTTTCATGGCTTGAATAAGACATCTGATAAGTCAAAAAGAAAATCGCTGAAATCGTACTGCACAAATGAAAAAGCTGGGCAAAGGATATGAATAGGCCACTCAGACAGGACAAAACAGGAATGTCCATTAAATATATTAAAAATGGTTCAGCTCAGAAATACTCAAGGAAATGTACTTTGAAAACTAAGTGCCATTTTTTTCTTTTTTACCTAGCTTTTACTCAATAAGCTCCTTATACCTACAGATTTCAGGGTGTGCCAATAGTAGGACAATGACTTGGGAAAGCATTATAAAATTATATTTCTTTTGAAGTTCATTACCTTTATCATTTATATCAGATACAGGAATAAGACGACCAATGCACAGAGGACGATTTCCATACGGATCTCGTACTGCATAAATCACATCTCTGTGCATTATAATCAGAGAGTATGCCGCGGGTGCTTCCTTCATTAAGTTTTTAATCCTGGAAATCAATTAAATAATTGAATGAATAATTTTAGTTACAAACACATGCAAGACCAAGCTCTCATTACCAGACCTGCACACTCAGCCTACTTTTACCATTACCTTGCCACCCAGTCTGGGGTGTCATCTTGTTCCTGAGGAGGGGTATACGCCAGTAACTGGGTGATCATTTCGCTATCAGAACTTGTTGACAGACCAATACCATGACGCAGAAGCTATTTGGAAAGGAGAAAAGTTACAGTCATTAGAGGGGAAGCTTTAACTCACCCCTCACCCAATAGCCTGCCATCACAGAAAGAGATCAGGCATCCTGTAGATGCTCAGTTACGGAATCCTGCATCCTACCAATGGTAGGTATGCATGCATAATAACGGAGAACCGCTGCTGGAGGCAATGGGAAGTCTCTGAATCTTTTCAAACAGGAAAAAAAGGGGAAAAAAAAGTGTTTCAGGAGGTATACAGGAAAGCTTCTGAAAACTAAGTTTGATGGAATGTAGACTTGCAGTGGGTGGCTGGAGGAGGGGGACGGAGAAGGCATGAGGGTTTGGGATTATGGTTCTAACTTTTTCAGCCCCCGACACTCCTCAGAGAAAGGACACATCCCCGTAAGAGTGGCACACTGCAGTGCAGACTCTCAACTCAGGTTTTTTGGTGGTGGCGATGGTGGCTATCCATCCTCACTGATAATCCCTGATGCAGCGAAATGTGTAGAGGTGAAGTCTAGCATCTGGGTAAGGGGTTAGGCGAAAAATAATGACCTGGGTATTGTTTAGAATGGAACTTCCAGTGGTACCTCTAAATAGTGAGTTTTTAAATAATTTTTACTTCATATTTATATTTTTAAAATTGTCTGAATAAAAAAAAATTTTTTCATTTCGGAGCAAAAAAACTGTATTATTGTAATGACAATGTCAGAGGCTAAGAAGAGGGCAGGACAAAGTTCTGGGAATACTTAAATCAATTTTACAAATCTCAACTGCAAAGCAGTGCATCAGAATCACCTTAGGAGCAGATTAAAATGCAGACTCAGCAACCGGCCCCTCCCCAGACTCTGGGGGGGAATATCTTAGAATTTGTAATTATAACAAGTACTCCAGCTAATTCTGATACAGTTGTTCTTTGCAGTTAGATAACAGGTAGCAACAATAGGGTAATACCCTTTTCCAAACTCCTCAATAACTTCTTTTCAGTAATTTATTACAATCATGAAAATGCATTAAAAAAACCTTACCTTTTTCCTTAAGCGAGCAGCATTTACCAATTCGCCATTATGCGCCACAGCTATTTTCCCATGAAGTGTTTCAACAACAAAGGGCTGGCAATTTTCTAATTCACAGTTTCCTGTAGTGGCGTACCTCGTGTGTCCAATTCCAAGATTTGAAGTATATAATTTCTTCAAATTGTCTTCAGTAAAGACGTGATTGACAAGACCCATTCCCTTGCAAAGTCAAAGTAAGAGCTCATTTTAGGGAAAAAGACACTAGTAGTATTTTTATATGCCTTTGCTCAGACAATCCCAAATTAGAAAATGAAGTTCACTTAATTTCTCTGTGCTACAGAATTCTAGTCTTAAAAAACAAAGGGGGGACTAACCTAATTGTAAGAACTGTGATGCATTAAAATATATATTTGAGGTGAAATTCACATAACATAAACCATTTTAAAGTGAAAAACTCAGTGGTATTTAATGTAGTCACAATGTTGAAGTGCTTGTTTTATAAGATACTTTTTGATAAAACATTGAAGAACAGATGTACTAAGCATTAACATTTGTCAAATACAATAAACTAAATTATTTGTAATTTTAAATTAAAGCATGTTAAAGTATTCAAATAAATGGCTTGTCTGAGTCAGTCTAGCAAATCATCACTGGGAGAGAAATAAAAATAGAAATGACAAATAGAAGTGGTTGACCCTTAAACAATATAGGCTTGGACTGCACAGGTCCACTTTTTCATGGATTTTTTTCAATAAATATATCAGAAAAATTTTTTGGAGATTTGCAACAATTTAAAAATACTTGGCAGACGAACCGTGTAGCCTAGAGTAACTTAAAAAAATTAAGAAAAAGATGGGTAGGTCATGAATAAAATATATGTAGATACTAGTCTATTTTATCATTTACTACCACAAAATATACACAATCCTATTATAAAATGTTAACATTTATCAAAACTTATGCACACAACAAACACAAACCATAAACTGTGCTATTCGCTGTTTTGAGAAATGTAAACAAACATAAAGGTGCAGTATTACATCATAACTGCATAAAATGAACTGCAGTCCGTACTGTAATACTGTAATAATTTCGGAGCCACCTCCTGTTAATATTGCAGGGAGCTCAAGTGCTGTAAGTACCCACTTAAAATGCCATGTGACACTAATCCTCTCCAGGTGAGCCCTTCATCTGTACCTCAAGTTGCCTATTGCAGTAAAAAGTCTCCTCTCCCTGGCTTCCCTGGTGGCGCAGTGCTTGAGAGTCCGCCTGCCGATGCGGGGGACGCGGGTTCGTGCCCCGTTTCGGGAGGATCCCACATGCCGCGGAGCGGCTGGGCCCGTGGGCCGTGGCCGCTGGGCCTGCGCGTCCGGAGCCTGTGCTCCGCAAATGGGAGAGGCCACAACAGTGAGAGGCCCGCATAACGCAAGAAAAAAAAAAAAAAAAAAAGTCTCCTCTCCCAGCTCCTGCGTATTTTTCTTCGTGTTTACTGCAATACCGTAAACCTTGAGTAACACCGTGGGACCCATTCAAAGTGCCACTAGTGATGCTGAAAGTGCTCCCAAGAAGCAGTCACGACTTTACAAGAAAAAGTTGAATTGCTTGATGTCTACTGTAGATTGAGGTCTGTAGCTGCGGCTGCCCCACCATTTCAAGATAAATGAATCCAGCATAAAGACCATTGTAAAAAAAAAAAGAAAAGGCAATATGTGAAGCCGTTGCTGCAGCTATACCAGCAGGCACAAAAATCTTGCACTTTTTGTGAAATACCCTTTTATCTCATATTGAAAATGCAGCTTTTATGTGGGTGCATGATTGCTATAAGAAAGGCGTGCCTATCTAATATGATTCGAGAAAAAGTGAAGTAATTTTATGATGGCAATGCAAAAGGAAGGTGAAGGATCTAAAGCTGCAGAATTAAATGCCAGCAAAAGATGGCTGGATACTTTTAGGAAGAGATTTAGCTTTAAAAATGTCAAGATAGGGCTTCCCTGGAGGCGCAGTGGTTGAGAGTCCGCCTGCCAATGCAGGGGACACGGGTTCATGCCCCGGTCCGGGAAGATCCCACATGCCGCGAAGCGGCTGGGCCCACAGGCCATGGCCGCAGAGCAACAGGAGAGGCCACAACAGTGAGAGGCCCGCCTACTGCAAAAAAATAATAATAATAATGTCAAGATAACAGGAGAAGTGACTTCTGCAGACCAAGGGGCAGCAGGCAAGTTCCCAGACAGCATTAAGAAAATCATTGAGGAAAAAGGATATCTGCCTGAACAGGTTTTTAACGCAAAAGAAACAGGTTTTAATGCAAAAGTGACCTATTGTGGGAAATAAAATACCACAAAGGACATTTATCAGTAAGGAAGTGAAGCAATGCAAGCACCAGGATTTAACGCAGTAAGGGATAAGCTAACTCTCCTGTTTTGTGCAAATGCAGTCAGGTTTAGGATCAGGACTGCCCTTATCTATAAAGCTGCTAACCCCCGAGCCTTGAGGGGAAAAGATAAACAGCAGCTGCTAGTCTTTTTTTTTTTTTTTTAATAGATTTATTTATTTATTTATTTATTTTTGGCTGCATTGGGTCTTTGTTGCTGCGCACGGGCTTTCTCTAGTTGTGGCGAGCAGGGGTTACTCTTCGTTGCGTTGTGCAGTCTTCTCATTGCGGTGCACGGGCTCTAGGCGTGCGGGCTTCAGTAGTTGTGGCATGCCGGCTCAGTAGTTGTGGCTCACAGGCTCTAGAGTGCAGGCTCAGTAGTTGTGGTGCATGGGCTTAGTTGCTCCATGGCATATGGGATCTTCCTGGACCAGGGCTTGAACCCATGTCCCCTGCACTGACAGGCGTATTCTTTTTTTTTTTTTTTTTTGCGGTATGTGGGCCTCTCACTGGTGTGGCCTCTCCCGTTGCAGAGCACAGGCTCCGGACGTGCAGGCTCAGCGGCCATGGCTCACGGGCCCAGCTGCTCCGTGGCATGTGGGATCTTCCCGGACCGGGGCACGAACCCGTGTCCCCTGCATCGGCAGGCGGACTCTCAACCACTGCGCCACCAGGGAAGCCCTGACAGGCGTATTCTTAACCACTGCACCACCAGGGAAGTCCGGCTGCTAGTCTTTTAACACATGGTTGTACAACAAGAAAGCCTGAACAACAAGAACAGTTTTTCTGGACTCGTTCCATCAATGCTTTATCCCTGAAGTCAGGAAGTACCTTGCTAGTAAGGGATTGCCTTTTAAAGTTCTTTTGGTATTGGACAATGCCCCTGCCATCCAGAACCCCATGAGTTCAACACGGTCAGACCTAAGTGGTCAAAGTGGTGTGCTTGCCCCCAAACATATCTCTAATTCAGCCTCCCTATCAGGGGATCATAAGGACCTTCAAGGCTCATTACACAAGGTACTCTATGGAGAGGACTGTCTACGCCATGGAAGACAAACCCAACAGAAAGAACATCATGAAAGCCTGGAAGGATTACACCACTGAAGATGCCGCGGTTGTTATAGGAAAAGCTGGAAAAGCCGTCAGGCCTGAAACAATAAATTCTGTTAGAGAAAAAGCCAAGAAAGCCATCAAGCTCAAAACAAATTTCTGCTAGAGAAAACTGTGTCTAAATGTTATGCATGACTTCACAGGATTTACGACAGAACCAGTCAAAGAAATCATGAAAGACATTGTGGATATGGTAAAAAAAAAATAAAAAATAAAAATAAAAATATAAATAAATAAAAATGGTGGGGGATGAAGTGAAGATAGGGATCTTGGAGAAATCCAAGAGCTAACAGTCACCATACCAGAGGAATTAACAGAAGATGACTTGGTGGAGATGAGTGCTTTCGAACCAGTGCCAGATGATGAGGAATAAGACACAGAAGAAGCAGTGCCAGAAACAAACTGACACTCTGGCAGTAGGGTTCCGATTATTCAAGACTCTTTTTGGACTTCTTTTACAACATGGACCCTTCTGTGATACAGGCACTGAAACTAAAGCAAACCATGGAACCATTGGTACCACAAAGAAACATTCTGGGAGAAATAAAAAAAGCAAAAAAGTCAGACAGAAATTACGACATATTTCCATCAAGTTACATACAGTGTACCTGCCTCTCCTGCCTCCCCTTCCCACCTCTTCCACACCTGAGACAGCAAGACCAACCCCTCCTCTTCCTCCTACTCATTAGGAATGAAGATTACTAGGTTGAAGTCCTTTATGATGATTCACTTCCACTTAACGAAGAGTGAATCATCAACATACTGTACAGTTAATAAACTTACCTGTTGTGTATGTGTGAGAGTCTTCTTGTGAAAATCTAGTAACTGTAGAGCAGAAACCATATGCGACATTTTGGTGTCACCACCATCACCATTGCCTAAGTAGTCATTGTGTACAACATCATGTGGAAGACCAGTATTAAAGTGGATAGCCCATCTTTACATAGGCATAAAGTGAGTGATATTTTATAACGATTCATTTATTAGTGTACAGGCTAGGCAACCATAAAGCAATCATATTGCTGCTTCTTTGTTACCAATGCATGAATTGTTATACCTATAAATATGAATTTTTTCACATTATCTTTTCATTTTTGAGGTCTAGTTTTAGTAATACATATAACATCTACAGTGTTCTGTATTAAGACTACATTAACATAGGTACCGACAGAATTTATCTTGTAAAAAGACAACATAAGCTTATTGTATCGATAAAGGCAGTACTATACTGTAAATGTATTTTCCCTCCTTTATGATTTTAATAATATTTTCTTTTCTCTAGCTTACTTTATTGTAAGAACGGTATATAATACATATGACATACAAAATATGTGTTAATCAACTGTTTATGTTATCAGTTAAGGTTTCCCATCAACAGTAGGCTATTAGTGGTTAAGTTTTGGGGGAGTCAAAAGATATATGCAGATACTGGACTGAACGAAGGTCAGCGTCCATAACCTGCATTGTTCAAGGGTCAACTATACTTCTAATTACAAATTATTTTTATTCAAAGTTCCTCCCCTCATCACTATATACTAGTTATCTTCGGGCTACTATTACCTTTATACTCAACATTTTTTAATACTTAAATATACCTTGTGTGTTTTGAATGTTGGTATCGAATTCCCATCACTGGTCACAATACCAGCACTCTCCTGACCCCTGTGAATATAAAAAGGTATCAGCTGTTAAATTTACCCCATTGATAAGCTTCTTAATGACTTTTATGAAACATACTTTTCTCAGTAACATCCATGAACTCAGTCTTACACCACATTAAATGCTACTAGCACTGGTGCCACTTCCACTCATGACGATGACAATGACAACGATTAGCAATAGCTGCAGATGAGACTGTCTGAGTTCTAACTAATATGCCGGGCACTGTCCTAAGCATTTACATGAATGATCTAATTTATTAGGCTTTGAAAACAATCCTCTGAAGTAGGTACTATGGTTACCATTCACATTTTACAGAAAAGGACAACACTAAAGAAACAGAAGTAACTTGTCTAATGTCACACAGAGAATGGTGGCACGGCCAGGATTAGAACACAATCTGACTTCAAAACTTGTACTTCTAACCTCCGTATTACGTGACCTCTAAATAAGGTTGAGTATGTAGATATAAATAAAAAGCTCCAAATAAAATAGCAGGTAAAATGCTTGTGGGTGCTGGAATTATGAACAAAATTTATTTTTTTGTTTTGTTTTGCTTTTTGCACTCATCGAATTTTTTCTGTCAAATATCTATCACTTTTGTCTTCAGAAAATAAATGCTACTTCAAAAAACCCCAAGCTGATGAGGCACTCTGTATCTCATTTCCTGCATTAGTATTTTTAGGTGATGATACAAAGAAAGCCAGAAGCTAAGCTTCCTAGCTAGGTAGGGTAACACACTCGTAAGACTTAGAGGATCTGCACCACAGTGGAGTACAAACTCAAAAGATACAATAAAGGTTCAAAGTGCTCAACAATTTTTAATAGCTCTGAACAAGTGCTATAAATACTAGATGTTTATTAACAAATTTTTGTTCTAAAGAATATATATCAGGGTAGAAATAAAAAGTAAATCTCTACCATAATATGTATGTATACATTAACAACTAATACATGATTTATTTGGTACAAAGGATCTTTTCCAAAATTGTAATTGTTTAGACATTTTAATGACAACAAAAACTACAATATTAAATGTACTTGCAAAGTAAAAATCTAAAAAATTAAAATTGAAGTGATTTTACTAAATTACCAATGCTTTAAATACTATGAACTATTATGCTGAAAACAGACATGCATAATACTATACATCCTATATAAATGAATAATCTGTGACTTAGGATTTATTTATTTAGTGAAATGATGTGGTTTGTAGTTAACCAATGTTCAAAGACTAAGTGATTCATATCAGAGGAGAAATAAAAATGTTAGCCTTAAACCTTAGGGCAGAAAGAACCTCTGCCAACCATTTCCAAAACAAACAAACAAAAAAATCAACAATCATATAGTAAACTAGAAATAAACACACAAAAAGTTTTCTTTCCCTTTTGGCTCAAGGGTAATTTTTCCTTTAAAGCTGAAATGAATAACATTAGGAATCATTTAGGTCCAGGGTTCTTTAATCACAAAGCCTGCTTATTTGGCAGTTTCTCAAGTTACTCCCCTCAGGCAGCTTGAACCAGTTAAACTAGATCCTTTCAGCTCTTCAGAGCTTATTGACAACCAGCCGTCTGGTTTCCTAGGAAACAAAACCTTGGCTAGAAATAGTGAATCATTTCCAGGTCACTTTCAACATGGAGAGTGGAGCAGGAAAGCACTGGACTGAGGAAGAGGTTAAAGCTTTGCTAAGTATCTGGGCAGAAAAAAATATACGAAAACAACTTTATGGAACACTGAGAAATAAAGGAATATTTATCTACATTGCTAAAAGGCTGCAAGCACTAGGAGTATACAGAGATTGGAAACAGTGCCGGGCAAAGTACAAAAATCTCAAATATGAATACAGAACAGTTAAATATGCCCACAACTCTGGAGACAGCTCTAAAACTATGAAGTTCTTCCATGATTTGGATGCGATCCTGCAGTATGAACCTGCCACACAATTAACAGAGGAAGATGCAAATGACAGGTGCCTGGCAACGCTGAGCCAAAGTACAGCCCCAGAGATCACTGAAGGTAAAAAGAAAAAGTACCATTCTTTTGTTTTTACCCAGCAAACTGTAAAAGAACCAGACTTGAGTCCATATGATAAATATAGCCTGAAATATCAAGGTTGAGAAAAATAACTGACCTGTTATGTATATGCTATTTTGCACAAGGTAAAAATTAATTTCAAAAGAGTTTAATGCCAACCATTTTAAAAACCTGTAAAATACAGAAAAAACACGTTAAAATGACACCAACTGCTAGTGCCAACTGCTCCTTACCCATGTTGATGCAGTTTTTGGAAAATGGATTGGGTTCTGAAAATATTTTAAGTCTTAATTTTATAAGAGTCGTGAAAAAAAAAATATTGCTCAACTGTTGTTTTCCCACAGCTCCAAATAAGATAGAACTTTCTGCTCTATATTATGTTCCCATTTTCCTAAATTTATAAATAAAAGCACTAAAATCCTAATAACTGATAAAGAACTTCATTACTTGTTTGGAAGAACATCTCCATTTTAACAGTAAGTAAAACAAATAGATTTGATAGATTAAATGATTTATGATTAAATGATTTAAATACTGGCATATCTCAGGGATATTGTGGGTTCAGCTCTAGACCTCTGCAATAAAGCAAATATCCCAACAAAGCGAGTCACACAAACTTTTTGGTTTCACAGTGCATATACAGTATGTTTACATTATACTGTAGTCTATTAAATGTGTAACAGCATTAGGTCTAAAAAAAACCAACGTATATACCTTAATTAAAAAATACTTCATTGCTAAAAAAATGCTAACCATCATTTTAGGAGGGGTGGGATATGGAGGGTGGGAGGGAGGGAGACACAAGAGGGAAGAGATATGGGAACATATGTATATATATAGCTGATTCATTTTGTTGTAAAGCAGAAACTAACACACCATTGTAAAGTAATTATACTCCAATAAAGATGTTAAAAAAAAAAAGATCACTGATCACAGATCACCATAATACAATTAAACAGTTTGAAATATCTTGAGAGTTACCCAAATGTGACACAGAGACCAGAAACGAGCATGCTGTTGGAAAAATGGCGCTAACAGGCTTGCTTGACACAGGGTTGCCACAAACCTTTAATCTGCAAAAAATACAATATCTGAAAAGTAATATATGCCTTATTAAAACAAGGTTCTTGAGCTGCTGTGTTGTTAAACCTAACACTATTTACATAGAATTTGCTCACTGTGGAAGCCGAACGTATCACTAGTCAAATTGGGAAAAATCAATGGCAGTAATGAGATTTCTCAAAATCTTAGCGTAGCTATTTTTAAGAACAGAGTTGTTCAATTCAATTCAAAATCTGTTTATATATGTCCATGTCTCTCTCTCGCCCTAACACACCTCACCCCAATAAAGATGTTAAAAAAAAAAAAAATCTGTTTAATACCTACTGTCTCTGTACACTGTGTGCAAAGCAGTGAGTTACATGCATTCATGGATGTAACCACAGAAAGGAGGGAACTGTGAATAAATGTAACCCAAAAGAAAGTGGTAAGTGGTATAATAAAGGTACCAAATAAGAAGGGGGGTTAAAGATGAGAGATTACAGTTGAGTTAACTTGGGTTATCTGAACTTCATGTTTAAAGCTCAATAATAAAATCCTTTGGTAAAAAATCCACCCAACTTACTGCCTTTACACTTCTAATACCAAACCAAATTCTGAGAAAGCTTTGCAGTCATTACCAAGTTAAACAGTAATTATATTATTTTATTCATTTAATCACTCTCCACTCATCAGCATCTAAATGCTTTAAGTATTGATTAACAATAAGTAAATCACTCACTGAGCTTCTGAAAGGCCTTGATTTAACCACAGGTTGGTGTAATGAAGATGTGATGGTAATATCTCCACTTCTTAATGGGATCTTCTAGCCCTTTCAGCTACTTGCATGGCTCCAAACTCCCCATTTCACTCATAAGCAGAGGGCCCACAATACACCTTAACCATGTATGTTTAGGGTATGTCAAACACCCAGTTCTAAAACCAACTCTCTTCCCCCATCAAAACTGATCCTCCTACAAATTGCTTCCACCTTACTATCACTGTATTTCTGGTCACTTAAATAGAAATGTTTGAGACAACCTTGATTTTTTGTCAGTCACTAAGTCCTTAAAAAAAATCTACTGACATGTTTCATAAATTTATCTCTCTGCTCCATTTTCATTACCACCATCCAGAACTTCATCATCACATGGAATATTAGGATAACCTCTTAGCTGGCCTCCCTAGTTTTCAGCCCCTTCTCACATTATCTTCCACAATGCCACTGATTGTTTTTATACAATTTTTTAAATTATAAAATTACAAAAAAATTAGCATTTTGTTTACATTTAAAATCATCTTTAAATTATACCCAGAATTGACCATAATTTAGGGTTAAATGTTACTCAATGGTTCCATAATATTTAACTGAGTGCATATACCAGAGTTTGGGTCTTTGCCCCCTTATATAACAGATGCTGCAATCGATTACCTTTCTTTTTTTTTTGGCCACACCGTACTACTTCCGGGATCTTAGTTCCCTGACCAGGGATTGAACCTGGGCCCCAGCAGTGAGAGCACCAGGTCCTGAACACTGGACCACCAGGGAATTCCCTACAATCAATTATCTTTTGTCCATATTTAAAATTATTACTTTAGGATAGACTATCAGAATTCAATTTCTGGTCGGGGGGAGTATAATTACTTTGAAACATATTGCTAAAATAACTGCTTTCCAAAAGAATTGTAATTTAACAATGAGACTGTCCCTTTTATAGAACCCTGTCAAGTAAGATTATGGAGTGAGGTTGGAAGGGGGAGAGACTTTGCTAATTTAATAAATAATGGAGTATGCTAATTTAATAAAGAACCGAGTACAACAGTGTATGCAATAAATAACTTTTACTTTGCATTTGTTTAATTACTAGTGCTGTGGAACATTTTCCTACATATTTATTCAGTTTTACAAATTGACTGTTCATGTCAATTGA